CCTACAGAGAAAAATTACAGAGCTTTCCAGTTATATAACAAGTTGAGCCACATCTTACGCGGAGTCAAATCACATATTCGTACATAGCTGAAAATATTCGTTGTACAGTTGCAGCTATTCCAAATTTCAAGCAGTTTCGGCAGTGAGAGGTGTTTGATGACAGAGAGACTGTGACTTTTCAACTGATGTGTATCTATAGTTACGGGATAACTGCGATCTTTATCATTGAAGTGATATTAGTATATCGTGCTCGAACATTTTCAGGCCAGCTCCGTGTATGTTCTCCTGATTTATCTGACTTCTCTCTGACGACGTGTCTCCGATTTCTCTGCTTGTAATTCGGTAAAGAATCGACTCGGTTACAGTCGATTACTGACCACTAATAACCTGTAAATCGTCTCCTTTCTTTTTTAAATGGAATGATAAAAAAAAATCTAACTGAGCTTGTCTAGCTTTTTTGGATCTCAACTGGAATTATAGGTTTAAAATTTACTGTTCATAAATTATATTCAAGTTCTATATTTCGAGAAACTGCGTTTACGATAACAAAAACAATTAGGAAAAAGTACGAAAATCTACTAATATGGTCGTAATGAACCCCTGAAAACAAATATTTTCTTGATTAGTGTCTATTATTTCCATACACCTTATATCAATTCACAGTAAAAGTCATAGGAGAAATTATCTTCCACGTGGCATAAGTTATTCTTCGTTCATCTTATATGTTCTTCTTGGAAGATGATTATTTTTGTCACACGTTCTACTTTATTAGTTTTGTCACTGTGCTTTCTTTTTTTGTGGGGGGGGGCGAATTTATCCAATGTCTCGAAAACTGCCCTTGTCTTCTCTTGTTGAGAGGCTTAATATAAAACCTGGAGAAATAATAGCCACTGATTGCCAGAGAAAAAATCCAAAGTCAGGTATAATTTAACGATTCTCGCTCTTAAAATTGTTCTAAAAATGCAAAGATACTTTTCATATTCCTTATCATATAGAATGAAGTTCACTTATTGAGGTTTATGGAAGGATTCTCCTGTATATATATATATACTTCGTAGAATTTTACTAGTACCAAACAAAATTGATGTTGGAAAAAAATAAACTCAAACCAATCATAAGACTAACATTGTTTACTTAAACTGATCATATTTCATGTAATCTTTACAGTTTGTTTGAAGTTAAGCACAAAGCTACACAATGGGCTATCTGTGCTCTGCCCACCACGGGTATTGAAACCCGGCTTCTAGCGTCATAACTCCGCAGACATTCCGCTGTGCCACTGGGTGGGGGGGGCTAATCTTTATAGATGTACGATCGAAAACAACGTTAAATACGAGAGAATCCACCTGAATAAATAAATAAATGCAAACTGGTCAATAGAAGTTTTTCCTCTGAGACTTTTTAGATTAGTCTATAATTTTGTCCTGTATCTGAATTGTATGTTTTACAATAAATTTTATTTCTAGTCTCAATGAAGCACTAAAATCATGGCGCAACTAAAGTTTCTAAGCGATTTAGTAATGGATTCGTGTGATTTTTATTTGTGCTTATATATATGAATTATTTTCTCTACCAGGGGATCCATCTTTGACCAAGGATCGTCATCATTTTTGTGAGATAAAGATCCATTAATGCATCAGTTTATTGAGACACGCTCCAAGTGGAATTATTTTATTCCAATTCGTGCAAAAATAAAAAGCTGTACGATCTATGAACATTACTAACTGCAGAAAAAGGGCCACTAACAATTGGTTGTTTTTCTAGCTCTTTTTGTTTCGGGGAGAGCGGCTTACGCTGTTAAAGATTTCACAGCTGACGAACCAGGTTCGAATCCATGCAATACCACAAAATATTTATTCCCCACTCTAAGCTGTGAGTGCGTTACAAGAGTGACAGCGTGGATGATGAATGGTAGAATGCTACTGACTGCAGTTCAAAATTAGAGTAAATATCAATATCTTTAGTATTTTTGGCATAAATAAAAAATTATATAGAATAGTTTATTCATTTACAATTTCCTGAGATATTTCGAACCGTCAAACTATAATATCTTATAGTTTCTAATCTATCTTAATATTTATCGAACGTGTTGTTCAGTCGGTTAGGTTTCAGTTTTGTTTAACACTCAAAACCACTGCTTCAATAATATTGTATCGTGGGATGATACTCCATCACGATGTTATATGTTTTTTATTATTTTAAAAACTTATAAGTAAGAGTAAAGAATAATAAGTTAGAATATATCAACAACACTATATCTGCTATATCCAGTGCCGACGAGGTCTTTTGCTTAATGCCAGGGCTCATAAGGTCAGTTGGGATAATAAAAACGCTATGAATCAGAAAAGAAAAAAAAAACTACGTTATAATAATGAAGTGTGTTTTTGCGATATTCGTGTAGCCAACAAAGATTGTTAAAAATATGGTTGAAACTGAGTGTTCTTTTAACAGAGTTTTTCTAGTTTATACGTTTGCCTTAGCAACAACTATTTAAAACACTTTTATTTACAACAAGGACTGAACTTTTCTAGTTTTAGGTTAAACGTATATTAGTCTTAGCAACTTTCACTTTAGCAACATCGCATACTCTCGTATGGTACATGCGCAATACTTGTAGTTCGAACCCCTAGGTAGCGACTTTTGTTGTATTAACTCTGAATCGCAATCACGTTTTATCGTGTTGAAAGTGTTTATTACTGTTGTTGTTGCCCGGCATGGCCAGGTGGTTAGGGCGCTCGACTCGCAATCTGAGGGTCGCGGGTTCGAATCCCCGTCACACCAAACATGCTCGTTATAACAGGGCGTTATAAGTGACGGTCAATCCCACTATTCGTTGGTAAAAGAGTAGCCCAAGAGTTGGCGGTGGGTTGTGATGACTAGCTGCCTTCTTACACTGCTAAATTAGGGACGGCTAGCGCAGATAGCCCTCGTGTAGCTTTGTGCGAAATTCAAAACAAACCAAACTATTGTTGTTCCTGTAAGATGTCAACGGCATTCTAGTCGAGTAAATGCTTACATTTGCTATTGGTGGTATTTCAATCACTTTCGATATGTGAGGTATGAAGTACGGTAATTTTTCGAAAATTAATTAAGTTGTTCCAGAATATTTAAGTATTAAATAATTTCCTTTAAGACAAGTGTCATTTCACCCACCTTAAGTTTTATGTTATTTTATACACATCACGCGCAGAAGAGCCGGGAGAACACCCCTAGAACGTTTTCGAAAACGTGTTTTAGCCTAAGTACTTCTCTTTATCCTCTAACACTAATGATTAGTGTGGAACTGGATTTGAAACCATGACGATCGCGTTAAACTACTTTGAATTTAATTGATATAACACTTACAGCATCGTAAGCTGAAGATTCTTTAGTAGGGAGTTCACCAACTTATAGAACATAACATATGACCTTGGTGTATGTTGTTAGCTTTCAAGACATGCTCATGCAAATCCTGTTCGGGATATCTACAAGCTGGATATGTCTGTTTAAATTCATGTCATTCCGAGGTCAAAGCCAGCGACCTGTAAAGGCGCCCCTTTTCACTTAGGAATAAAGTATTCTTGAATTGTATCGTGCCATGTAGAAGTTGAAAAAGTCGTCAAGTCTGAGAGCATCGAGGAGGGTAGTAGTTATCCACATCAATATTGGGTAATCATGTGAATGAAAGAAATATAGTTAAAAATGATAGTGCTCAGACAGTTGTTGCTATAGAATTAAAAATGATAGTGCTCAGACAGTTGTTGCTATATAGTTAACAATGATAGTGCTT